CTTTGAGCCATACTAGCTCGCCATCCAGGCTGCACAGTCACACCAAAGAGCAGCTGTGCATTGCGACATCCACATCGAACACTGCCTCGGATGTCGACATCGCAATCAACTCGACCCTAAACCTGCGTCGGAACTACACAAGCCACAACCGAAAGCAGCACCATCTCACAAGTGTGTGAATTGGAGCACAGGTGGGAGCAAACTACTTTGGTGAAAGTCATGCGAGAGTGTCGGCGAGGCGTTTTGCTTTAAAGTCGACGAGCACGCGGTGCATACGGCTGAGGCTGCCGTGCAGTTCGGCGAGCTGGTGCACTCGGTCGGCGAGGTCGGCGTAGCTAAGCGGGCGATCGCTGGCGACTGCGCGCGACCGAGCCCTCTCGTCCCCATCCGAACCGTCAGCGGCTGCAGCCACGCCGGTCGGCTGAGCTCGCCAAGCGATGTTGTCCGGCGACTCGCTCCTGCTCGCTTGGCGCAGCAGCGTCTCGAACTCAGCCCCGGCCGCGCGAGCGCCGCCTTCAGCCGAATTTGACCCCTTCTTTGCTCGAGCCTGGCCAGCCTCGTCGTCCGAGGACCTCATCTCGCCTTCTTCGGGCGACTCTTCACCGTCCTCCCGCGGCTCCCTCCGTCGAGACTCCAGACTCTCTCGGCGTCGCGGGCCCGCTGCGTTGTGCGCAGTATTAACGCTCGTCTCCTTCTCGACATCCAGCATGTCTACGTCGAGCTCGTCGCTCTCGCCAGTCGAGCCGTGGCGCGTCATCTTGGAGACAGGGTGGGCATGCGGCGAGAACAGCAGGCTCTGGTTTGCCGACGCCTGCGAATGCAGTCCTATCGGCTGCGACGCCGCTTGTTCCTCCGCTGAAGCTAGCTCGAGCTCCCGGTCCAGCCTTTCGCTCTCGGCCTCGAGCCGCTTGCGCGAAGCAAGGTACTCTTGCTGGGTCTTGGCGAAGCGTTGTGCCAGACGATGCCAGTCCGATCGTGACCGAACGTCTAGCCACGGCTCTGACCAGTGAGCTGCACCGGGTCCAACACCTTTGATCGACCTCTCGCCCGAGCCGGACGGCGACTTGACCGCACTCGATCCATTGGAGGGTCCCCGCGATGACGAGCCATGCGCATCAGGAGCGCCGCTCCTGCCCCTACTTCCTTCTTCCGCCTCGCGGTAGTAGCTCTTGCCTCGATCGCGAGTTGCATCCGTCCCGCGATCTTGCTCATCAGACCCGCGGTCCCGACGCCTGCCTCGGTAGTCGTCCACCTTGGCGTTTCGAGATTCTCTTTCGCTTGTCTCTGGTACGGATCGCAACCGGTGGCCGACTGAGGCGAACGATGGCATCGATGCGGATGGCGGGACATGTTCGCGGATCGACGTTGCGGACGTAGAGGCCTCTGTGGGCCGGACGGGACGCATTGCGCTCTCGTCCCGACGCCGGGGCATGTCATTATCGGCTCGACGCGAGATGGGCTCGGGCGACGCTGAAAGCCTACGCTCTCGATACCGCGTTGGCTGGTCGCTGGGCGGGGCAAAGTCGTTGGTACGGCGACGCTTGCGCTGCGCTGCATCGGACGATTCGTCGACCCTTTTCTTCGTATTCGCCAGCTTGGAGGGTGGTGAGGAGGATGGTCCAGCGCTGTTGCTGATTTCGATGTGAGTCCGCGAATCCGATCTTGCCCGCGGGCGTTGCTCGCGCTCGGAGCGGTCCGACTCAATTGCCGGTGCCGCAGCCTTTGCAGTTGGGCCAGACTGACTAGTGGCTCTGGGACTGCCGCTTTTCGGATCGTCGACAGCGGGCGGTCTTGCTCTCCGCATTGTGACCACGGGTACGGCTGCGCGCGCGACCTTCTCCGGCGACCTGCTACTGGCCGCTCCTGCCTTGGCAGTTGTTATAGTGGCGCCCGGTCGCTCCGTCTTGAAGCTGATGCTGTTCTGCTCGATGGAGGTTGTCCGTTCTCTCTTGGGAGGCTGCTGTGCAGACTCTTGGAGTGCTGTACGTCTGGTGCTGGTTTCGGTTTTCTGGGCTACCTCTGCCCTGCTTCTGGACGACGAGGCGATTTCTTTGGACTTGTCTGGATACGTTGCCGTCTGGCTGCGGTCCAGTCTCGCTGCCTCCTGGCGGTCCGACCCCGTTTTTGTAGCAGACGCGCTGACGACCGACTCCTTTGGCTTGCTGGCCTTTTGCATCGGTTCTGACTTTGGTACCGTTGATTGGATGGGGTCGATCGCAGTCGATCGGCTGTTTTGAGCGGAAGGCTGTGTGCCAGAATTGACCGAGGCGGACGTGCCAGCTAATGGAGTTGTCGAAGGAGCTGCGCGGAGTTCTGGGGTCGGCTTCCGCTCGGACATGGCTAGGAGGCGACTGCCTGCCTTTGTCGCCTTGGCCAGACGTTGGCGCGTGGTGAGCTTTGAGGTCTTTTTGGCAGCACCGCCAGCTACGTCGGAGCTGACCGAGGCCGGAGACGATGTCAGGTCGGCTCGCCTCGATTGACCATCGTCGGAGACATGCCCCTCTTCCTGTGTCGAAAGACTGCTCCCTCCTGTGCCTGACGATCTATGGCTTGAAGAGTGAGTGGCGGTGGAACTGCGCATCTGAGCTACGCTCGAGGTTTGTGGCGAATCAGTGATTGCCCTTGCGGAACGGCTGGTCGAAAGTCCTGACTCGTACGAAGCACCCTGCACCTTAGGGTGAGCCGCGGTGAGGAGGCTCGAGCGCGCGCCTGGGGACACCTCACGGCTCTGTGCTCTGGAGACGGCGGCTGGCGGGAGAAGGCCGGGCTGGCGGCGTTGGGCGGTGACGTTGGTCAGACTGCTCGACCTCGACAGGGGCGAGGATGAGAAGAAGGCGGAGCCAGAGGAGGCGCGGGCAGCGGCGAGCGTCTTGTTTGCGCTTGACCTTGAGCTCGATGATGCTACGGACAAGTTCGGCGAGGAGCCTTGGATGAGAGCTTGGCGACGCTGTTCTTTGCGCAGCTCCTCCTCCTCCTTTTGCTGTTTGAGGCGCTGAGCGACTGCCGAGACATCGCGCGTGGGCTTGACCGAGAGCTTGGCTGCGATGGTGCCGACGCGCGTAAGCGTCGACTCGTCGTGGGAAAGCCGATAGAGCTCGTGCGGGGCAGCCGATGGGGATGCTGAACTGAAGCCATGGGTTGGCGGACGTGACTGTGGGGTAGCGGCCGGCACCGAGGCGTGGAGTGGAATGCTAACGCTGCCCACGAGCAGCTCCGGCTCCGCTGTATCGAAGTTGAGGCGGATCTGAGGCTTGGCCGACCCAGACACGGTGTAGGCGCTGGCGAGCTGCTGAAGAGCCTGCTCGGTCAGACGGATTTGGAGCACTTTTGGCGGCGAAGATGGTCCGTCATCCTTGCTCTTATCATCGGCTGGAGCCGACGATGGGCGCTCGCCCAGGTCGACGCGGTAGACCGAGTCGGGACGAAGCGACATGCTGAGGTTCCGCCCGTGGGTCGCGTTCGAGCTGCTTCAGGCCCACGCCTACGCCCAAGCTCGCCGGCGAGTAGAGGCTGCAGGTGCAATGCGCTTGTCGTGGGCCGATGCTGCGGCCGTCTACGGGCAAGTATATCGCATGTGTTGTTGATGAATGCAAGAGGCAGGCTTCAAGGGCGGCCTTGGAAGCTCAGGGCGGCGGTAGCGGTCCAGGGTCCAAATCTGGCTGGTCTCAGTCGCGGTTGGCTCTTCGGAGAGCACACTGCGGTGTGCTGCCTGGTCCGTGACCTTACGGAGGGGCTGTCGGAAAATCCGACATGCACATGCAGCAGCAGCTGCCCTGGCAGCCGCGCTAGGTTCAACGCTCCAACCGACGTCGGAAGGTTGCCCTCAAATGACACAGGCACGGGAAGAGTGCTTGCCAGAGTGGAGGTGGTGGGGTCCAAAAAATGAGAAAGTTGGGGCTAGTCTCGGACGAGAAGACGTGTTTCGAATCGGCAATCTGGCGAAAGGCCTCCGGAAAGGCCGATGCAACACGAACCCAACTCTACGCCGCAACAGGCGCGGCGCGTGTCGAGACATCACACCCGCACTCACGTCTCGGTGCCATATCGACTCGGCAGCTGTGACTCGGCCATTCCGCGAGGCTCGATCGTCGGAACACCACCGAAAGCTAGCGTGAGACGCTGCTCTCTCGTGGCCGACCGCGCCATCCGCAATCACCATGGCGTTGAGGCGCGGCAAGGATCGCGTCGCCAACGCAGGCTCCGAAGGTACGTTGACGCGATTCGACTGGCTGTCGTCACGCTCGTATGCTGACTTGTGCTCGGACCATTCTGCTCCACAGAGCTCCAGCTGTGGTATGCGGTGCGCCAGAATCTACGCACACTCGAAAAGATCCGCATCGCCTCGGTAGACAAGGCGGCGGCGGCCGAGTCTCATCGCACCGACCTCATCGCGCTGCGCGAGAAGAAGGATACTGGCGACGAGTACCGTACCAAGCGGCGCAAGCTCGACGACGTCTGTCATGACCTGACCAGCCGCACCAAGGACGAGCTGGCAGCCATCGAGTCGGCGCAGGAGAAGCTTGGCATCCTGGTTGCGCTGCGCAGTTCCGCAGACGGCGCAGGTTCGCGCAGCTCGACACCGCGCAAGGACCTAGCATCCAAACTCAAGTCCGGCGCATCAGGCGCATCGACCCCCACGGGTCGACGTGGAGGACCTCTGGGCCCATCCAATCTTGGTACCTCGTCTACCAACCGCGGGCGAAGAGAGACGCTTACAGCACAGCATCCTCTCACGCCCGGTCGCAAAGTCGCCGTACTACCCACCAAGACCGAAGAGTCGGACTGGCTCAAAGCGTCTGTCCTCTCGTTCTCCAAATCGTCCAACGAATACAGCGTTCAGGACGATGACGAACCAGGACCAGAGGGAACCTACAAGGTGGGCATGCAGAACATCATCCCCCTCCCCATCAGTCTGCAGACCTTGCCAGCGTCCGACTTTACCCCGGGCACCCGTGTGCTGGGCATGTATCCGGATACAAGTTGCTTCTACGGCGCCTTTGTAAGATCGGGTGGCCCAGGTCTTACGCGCAACGCCAACCTGGTCAAACTCGCCAAGCGCGAAGCCGAACTTCTCGAGACCAAATACAACCTCGAGTTCGACGACGACAACGGAGAGATCCGCCAGGTCCCCGCCTGGCTCGTCGTCCAAGAACCCGCGTAACGCCAGCATCATCCCCACAACGACGTTGGTGAAAACCGGCGCTTGTACTTGTACCGACTGTAATTCTATCCCCATTCACCAATCGATTGCCTTGCCACTGGCGGCTACGTCTCATTCCGCCGCTGATCTCACATCGTGTCGGCGTCGAAGCAAGGCAGGTGACTGTGCTGGATTACATTCGCTTTGATGGCGATAAAGCGCGCCTTTGGGGGTGATGAACTGCTTAGACCTCATCGGAAGCCACTTGCTGATAGCCTGCTGCAGGAGCTGGACGCCGGCCACCCACGGATGCACCTCCGAGCCTGAGCGCCGAACTCGACAGAGCCGACTCGAGCTTGCCGATGAGCTGGTAGCCGACGTCCTTGAGGTTGGCGACGACGCGATCCAGTGCACCCGCATCAGAGCGGTCGAGCAGCTCCTGCAGCTGCAGAGTCTCGACGGCGGCCATGCCCGATGCCATGTCACCACTGACCGCCGGAGTGAGCTCCGCGGGGCGCCTGTACCACTTGAGCGTGAGCGAGCTCGCCACGACGCTGACGCTCGAAAATGCCATGGCGGCACCAGCCATCATGGGATGCAGGCTCAGGCCCCAAGGCAGGAAGATACCCATGGCGAGCGGGATTCCGATCATGTTGTACACGGTCGCCCACACAAAGTTGAGCTTGATCTGTCGAAAGATGCGGCGCGAGAGGTGGATCGACGCTGCCACGTCGAGCAGATTCGACCGCATGAGCACGATCGATGCCGCCTCGATCGCAACGTCCGAGCCCGTGCCGAGTGCGATGCCGAGATCGGCCGATGCCAGCGCCGGCGAATCGTTCACGCCATCGCCCACCATGGCAATCCCGCCGGACTTGGAGCGGCCGTTGGCACGGAACGGCGAGAATCGGCCGCCGCTCTCGAGATCGCCGCCACCAGACGCACGACGAAGCTCCAGCACGAGCTCCTGTTTGTCGATCGGGCTCATCTCTGCGTACACGTCGGTCTCCTCGTCCATGCCCAGCTCGCGAGCTAGAGCGCGCGCCGTGTTCTGCGAGTCGCCCGTCACCATCCCGCACTGAATGCCCATGCGGCGCAAGGCCGCCAAGGTGCGCTTGGCTTCTGGCTTCAGCGTATCGCTCAAGCTCAGCACGGCGGCGAGCGAGCCATCCACACTGGCAAGGACGGCAGTTCGGCCGTACGACTGCTGCTCGGCAAGCAGTCCCTCTGCTTGCGATGCAAAGGCAGAGTGATCGAGAGAGTGCTTTTCCTGCGACGTGATGAAGTCAGCAGTTCCGATGCGTACCTCATGCACCGTCATCGTCTCGTCGAGCTGGACTCGACAGGCGATGCCCTTACCGGTGAAGCTCTGGAAGCTCTCGATGTTGGCACCAGAGACAGCGGTCGTGGCGTCCGTGGTCGGAGCGACCAACTCGGAGTGAAGCTGCTGAGCCGCCCACGTTGCGATGGCGCGCGCCAGAGGATGCTCCGATCGAGCCTCGGCTGCTGCGACCATGCGGATCACCTGTCTTCGCGACAGGCCGCCCACAGCAATGGCGTCGAGGCCACCCTGCTCGTTGCTCGGCCACATGGCTTCGCGTAGCGTAAGCTTTCCTTCAGTAAGGGTGCCTGTCTTGTCGAAGAGCATGCGACGAATGGTCGTGGAAGCCTCGAGAGGACCACCGCCCTTGATCAGGATGCCGTTCTGTGCACCCACGCCCGTGCCCACCATCACCGCCGTAGGTGTCGAGAGGCCAAGCGCGCAGGGGCACGCCACAACGATGACGCTGATGCACAGCTTGAGGCAGACCATAAACTTGGTCACGCCCTGCTGGTTGAATATAGACGGAAGCATGTGGCCCGAGAGCAGGTGTGCAATCACCATCCACGCCACAAAAGTGAGCGCTCCGAGCCCCACCACCGTCGGCACAAAGTATCCAGCGACGCGGTCTGCGAAAGCCTGGATAGGAGCCTTGGACGTCTGCGCTTCGTCGACGAGCTTAACGATCTGCGCGAGGCTCGTGTCTTTGCCGGCGCGCTGAACGAGAAAGTCGAAGGTGCCAGTGCCGTTGACGGTGCCTCCGATGACGCTGCTGCCGACTTCTTTGTGGATCGGAATCGCCTCGCCCGTGACCATGGATTCGTCCACCGTCGACTCTCCGCGTACAATCACACCATCCGCAACGATTCTCTCTCCGGGGACCACCTTGACGTAATCGCCGCGCTGAACGAGCTCGGATGCGACCTTCTTCTCGCTCTTTCCCTCAGCGCCATCCGTGTAGATGGTGGCCGACGACGGTGTGAGGCCGATGAGACGCGACAAGGCTTCGCTCGTCTTGCCTTTGGCGGTGTTCTCGAGGAAGCGGCCGAAGGAGACGAAGGTGAAGAGCATGGTGCTGGTATCGAAGAAAGTGGCGGGCTTTGTGCACTGGCCGGGTGCAGCCATGGGCATCGAACCCATGGCGCGTGCCATGACGGATGCGGCGGAGGTGGCCTGTGGTAAAGCATCAACGCAAAAGAGCCTCGCAACCATAGAGAAGACGCTGAAGACCCATGAAGCAGTGGTGCCGATGACGATGAGCACGTCCATGGTGGCACTGCCGTGCTTGACGGCCTTCCAAGAGGTGCGGTAGAACCTCAAGCCAATGCCGAATTGGACCGGAATGGTGAGGGCGAGGCAGACAATGTCCTGGAGGTAGAGGCCGGAGATGGGCTGCCACCAGAGAATGGCGCGTGTGAAGCTGAACTTGGGCAGCACCATGGACAGCAGGAAGACGGGCACGCCCATGGACAAGGAGAATAGGAAAGCGGAGCGCCACTCGGCGATCTCCTTGATTCTGCCCAGCGATGCGAGCTGTGTCGAGTTGCGGTCATCGCTGACGACGGCGTCGAAGCCAAGGTCCTCGACATGCTCGACGAGATCTCGGATGCCGAGCTTGGCTGGATCGTAGTCGATCCTGGCTTTCTCGGTCGCGAGCGACACCGAGATGGACTTGATGCCGTCGATCTTGGCCAGCTCGCGCTCGACGGTGGATGAGCACGAAGCGCAGGTCATGCCGTAGACGCTGAGCTGAGCGGTATCGAGCTTCGATGTTTGAGTGCTCGCGGCGTCCGAAGCGCCAAGCTTTTCTTGTGTGTCGATGTTTGCACTCTCGGTCCTGATGACTTCAATGAAGGTGGCGTCGAAGCCAGTATCCTCGATCTCTTCGGCTACCTTTTCTGGCGTCCATATTGTGTCGTCGAAAGTCACGGTCGCCTTTTCCGAGAGAAGAGCGACGGATATTGATTCGATGCCTGCTTGTGACCGGATCATGCGTTCTATCGTCTCGACGCAGGCTCCGCAGGTCATGCCGCCGATCTGGAAGGTGGCCGTCACCTTGGCGCCGTGAGTGGCTGCATTGGATCCCGACGCTGATGGCGTTGTCAGAAGCGGGTCGTTGCTGGTCATGTTGGGAAGCAGCGGTGTGGAGATTCGATTTGGTGCGCGCTACTTTATGGCGCGAGCTTGGAGGTCAAGCCTACGACTTGCCGAAAGGACGTTCGTAGGGTTTGCGCTGCCCCGACTTTGCGAGAATGATGATGTTGCGTTCTGTCGGCGGCTGGATTCAGGCGATTGATGATCGTGGCAAAGCAAAGAAGTAGCCTCGACCGTTCAAGAACGCCGCAGCAATTCGGCTGAGTTTGAGAACGAAGAGCTTGAGAAAGAGCGATGGCGTGTTCGGCTGTACCGACGACCTCTGAAGCGGTCACGTCGGCAGCTCCGATCCGCAAGACGCCCTTGACGAAGTCGAACAGTAAGGCTTGGAAGCCTGACCTTGTTTGAGGTTGCTGATGCTGTGCGAAAGGTAGGTGGGGAGGGTGGGGACAGGAAGCAGGAAGACGAGCACCAAAAAGACGCGGGTGTGCAATTCCGGCGACACGGATCAGCAACTTTGAGCTGGTGGAGGCGTAGCCGAGGCGTGCGGCCCCATTCCCGCAGGCTCATCTCGGCACAGTCCCGCACCTGTCCGGCCTCGGATGCTTCTTCTTTCTTTCTTTGTTTCTCTCTGCTGCCTGACTGTGCGGCTTACAGTCATCAAACGCAGGTCGGACAGAAATTGCACGACCTCGCCCTTGGTTGTGGGCGAGCGCAGAGCCAATCGCTGTTGCTCACCGCTCGATTCTCTGAGGAGACTGCGACGCGATCTCATCTGATACGGACCCTCGTCCCGCGCTGTTGCCAGCTCAGCCGAGTCTAAACTCCGAAGCCAAAATCACACACACACACAAAATCTTTTCTGAAACTTTCTCCTGAGTTAGTTTGGAGGATGTAACATGTTGAAGCTTTGGGCTTTTGCCTCCGATCTGACACGCTTCAATTCGGCGCCCGCGGAACTTGTCGGGGACTTAGGCCGAAGCGCTCTAAATTTTCGCCCCACCAAAGTTTGCACTTTTTTGTTTGCTCCCACGCAGTGCAGACGTGCAGCTGCCTGCATGGACCGTTGTTCGCGGGCGGCTAGAAGAACACACTGCTGAGTTGGACCGGGACCTGAACCAGACAGCAGATGTCGGCGCAACCGCTCCGCTGGAACAGAACTTTCGCATGACCTGCATGGGAAGGCCAGATAGAGTGTGACCAGCTGTCCTCTCCGACGCGCGCACAGGTCGCTGGCGTGGCAACGGTGCGGTGTTTTGTTGACCGAGACAGACACGGGTCTAGCCAGCGAAGGTGTCGCGGAATCACTCGCTCCGCGTACCGCTGTCGCTGCCTCAATGTCGGTTGGCGTCGGGCTCGTCTCAGACACAAGAGTGTCCGCGCGACTTTTCACCGTACAGATCATGTCTCCGCGCATCTTTGCTGCCGCGGCGAGGTCGATGCAGGGTAAGGCCGGACCAGAGCCGCTTGCAGGACAATAGACTTGACTAGGCAACGGCATCTCTGGCGGAGGAATTTGCTGCAAAAGTTGCAAACGAAGTCGGTCGAACCGGAAGGGCAGATGCAGGGTCTTGCCGCGCGGTCCAATGCCAATGCTGCCCGTCCAAACGCATAGGCATGAATCGCAGCCGCCAGTCGGCAGTCATCCGTCAACCGTCAATCGTCGATCTCTCGAACTGAAGCGGCCCTCTGCCGCCTCGTATGCGGCATTCTCATGATTGTTATCGATCCCACAATGTTATTAATACGATGAGCCCCACACGGTAGCTACGACCATCGCTCGGTTGGCTGAACTTGATGAGCTCTCCCACATGTGTACTCACGGTAGTGGCGCGGCTCATCTTGGTTGCAGCTGGACAGCCTCGGCAAGGGCGCCGAGTGCACTGTATCGGTGGAGCCGAGGTGGGAGCATGTCCACGGAGGGCGAGGCTGAGGGCGATCACCCGAACTGCCGATGCTTAGCGGCATTCATGCGTGGCTCAACGAAAAGGTGCCAACAGAGGGCGCCACAGCAGAGACCGCGGCGACCTCGGCGGACCGAGTCGGACCGCGTGCGAAAAATCCGAAAAGCGAAGAAGTGTCGCGCGCGTTTCGCTGCGGCCGCCAAGGCTGCAACCCTCTGGCGCGCCAGCTTGAGAGACTATGGTAGGGGCAGTGCTGCCAAGCCGCTTGGGACGACCCTCGATACCACGCCAAGCTCGTTAGGCTGTGTTGCACGCATGGGATTCCGATGCCCCGCCGAAGCGCGACCGGTGCCGCCGAGCCTTTCAAGGTATCCGACTTTCCCACGAGCAGTTTGAGGCTGGTGGCGGTCGTGAATGGCATGCTGTATTGTAGCAGTTCCAATTGTATTTATATAATAATACAAGCTGAACAGCTAAGCGTGAGAGGTCGGAGAGACTGCCGATACGGTTGCCAGCCGCTCCCAGCCGCGGCAGAATTGGAAGGGCAAAGGGCATCCGCAAAACCATGCCGCTCGTCCGCCGCGGTAACAATGGCGGGCTTGAAAGGTGGCCGGAACGGCAGGAAATCCGAAGGTGTGGGAGAGAAGGCAAAATGGTCAAAAAAAGAAGAAAAATGAAAATAAACTCCATCGGCCGCCAGATTCGGTCAGCGAGTCACTCTGCCAAAAAGCCAAGCAAAGCGGATCACGGTTTTGTGCTGACCTGGCCCGCGCCGTCCCACCGCGCAATGCCCGCGGTTTCTGGTCGGCTCACCCGCCGCACAGCGAGACCAGCATACATTCAATTGCGATTCCCAACCGTTTTGGGCATTGGAATGCGTGATGTATGACATGGCATCGTCACAATGGAGTGGCCGCCGTCATCGCCCCCCCCCCCCCTCCCCCGAGACCCAACTGGAATGCCACCTTGGTCGGAGTGACGACGGGATGGAAAGCTCAGATCTTTGCTCATGCGATCTCCACGGCGGCTGGTCTGGGAATGCAGGGCCGGCGAGATTCGCGCTCTATTGTCGGAGTTGAGCCATGCGGCGACGACGCTCAGAAGGCTCTCTCGGTGGGTGACTCCGCAACGGATTTCGGTTCCACTGCACGACGGGGGCGCGGATGCAGCTCCGCACGGAAATCAGCTCCGCTGGGCGAAAACAAGAACGTCTTTTTTCCTGCGTTTGTCACCGAGCTCAATTCGCCTAATCCCCCAAACAAAAATACTGCCTGATCTCGGAGTTTGTTCTGCCTGTTTTTTCGCTGCCCTTTTGTTTCCCAACCTCGCGATCCCGGGCCGCCGAGGTGGAGGTGACAGAAAAAGAAAAGAAAAGAAAAGAAAAGAAAAAAAAGAGAATTTTTTTCAGTCGGACACGGCTGCCAAGCGTCGAGTTGACTGGAGCGCGACATCGCTGCATCGCAGCATCGCAGCGGGAATCATGCGGATGCGGCTCCCAACCGGGCGTCCGTGGAAGCGCGGCGTTACTGCTTAACGAGATGCGAGCGGTCATCGTTGCTGAGCTGACCCTCGCTCTCCCACCTCCAGTTTCACCTTGTCTCCGAGCAAGCTCCGGCTGGCTGACTGCTCCGACCTTCGCCCATCCGCCAGATCGCCTCTGACTCGGCATCATACCCTGGGCAACGCTTGGCACTCTCGCTCCGCCGCCGCAGATCACCCGGAGCTCATGGTTGGGCCGTGGCTCTGTCCGTACGCCGGTGTACGCAATGCAATGCATGCCGCGGTCGCATGGCTGAGCAAACCGGTTCCATGTGGCTCTCCCTCGTCGTACCTCTGCCAGAAGGTTTCCGGCCAACTACATATAACCACCTTTCATCCGGCAATCTTGTCCCCCCGCAATAGAATCTAGACCCTACATCCTTCCGCGTCCATCCTATCCCGCGCTTGCCTGCATCGAAACACCACCGCACCCTCATCGAGACATCACCGCTTCTGTCTATTCGCCCCGGGTGTCATGTGTTTGCGTCTCATCTCTTCATCATCGAAACATCAACTACAAACATCACAGCACACCAATACATAGACACTCGCATCCGGATCGACAGCTTTCTCTACTCTGCTTTACTCGGACAACATCTCATTTCGCCGCGATGAAGCTGGACCACAACCCTTTCGGCGCCCTGCGCGCCAAGTCGCGCTCGTTGCGGCGCAAGAACGACCGCACGCGCATCTACGCCTCGTCTACGGTCGCATGCGACGGCGGCATGGTGTCGCCCAAGCTTGCCCACGGACGTCTGTCGCACGAGGATCTCACGGCGCATGGAGCGTCACGCACCTCGAGTGTGGATAGCTTTGGCCTCAGTCACCACACGCATCTGCACCACGCCGATTACGCCACCAACAGCGCTGTGCTGTTAGGGGATGACAAGGAGCTGCACGACCCCAACTTTGTGCGCCACAACTGGGAGATGATGACGGGCGAAGCGTTGCCGGACAACCAGCTGCACTTTGGGCGATCGGCGTCGCCGCGTCTGACGAGTCGACGCAGCACGTTTTCGTCGCGCACCAATAGCTCGCGGCCGTCTTCGCGATCGGGGAGCGAGACGGGCGGACACCACACGCCGGCATTCGGTCCGGGCATGAGTGCCTTTTCGGGTCTGTCGAGCTATTCGCAAGCGGGCCGGAGCAACCCGCGCTCGTCGTCTACACGCGGCTTGCAGGTGGAGGGATCCATCCTGCGCGATGAAGAGGCCATGTTGAGCGACGACGACAGCAGCGACGACGATGACTTCAGGGACGACATGTTCCCCGCCTACCGCCTGCCGACGTCGCGACGCGCGAGTCCGAGCCAGCTGGCTCCGCCCTCGCCGCGCACGCTGCTGCATGCGTCGCTGTCCGGAAGCAGCAACCCGCCTTCACCCGTGCCATCGCACGCCGCCTCGATGGAGCAGCAGCAGGCCGCAGCCGCTTTCCACCGTCGCCGACACTGGACCGTCGCCGAGGGCAGTCAGGCGTACAACGCCTCCAGCGCCGCACACGTGCTCAATGCCAACTCGAACAAGTTCAAAGAACGTAGTTTCTCCCAACCCGCCTAGACCATCGCACTCTCTTTCTGTTTTTGCATCGCATCTGCTTGTACTTGTACCTACTGTGTACACCAATTATACCCAGCGACAGTCGCACCACACACCTCGCAAACGTCGTCTGAAAATTTGAAGACTGGCTCGTGATAGCCTTGCCTGCGATTACAGGGCGAGTCTCGGTCGCTTTGCGATGTTTGCAACCTTTGAGCCGAGCGATCGTTGACAAGAGATTGAGCCAAGCCGAGAATTGGAGCAACGTGCGGAAGATTAAGCGTGCCTCTTGTTGGGTCGACAATCAATCGCCGCACCCTTGCAAGCGGAAGCCAAAAAAGAGTTGTGGTATCGACCGTTGACTCGGCAAGGGCAAAGACCGTATGGATCGCATGCAGACATCGGCAGGTGAACAAGCTCTCGAGCGCCGAATTGCAACCGATTGTGCATCTGCACACCCGAACTCCCCTTACGACCTCGACGACACACGCCCATTGCCCGCGTGTTCGAGGTGTATCCCACGCGGCAAAGCCCAGGGTCCAAACGGACTCCGGACAGCTATATCAAGCCAACCCACTATTGCTCATTGTCTTTGTGTTGATCGAATGACAAGTTGGGCATGACCAAGCTGCATTGATAAGGTTTCATACACGCACGACGATCGGACAAAAGCCAAGGATGGGTTGGCGCAGTCGATGATCCCTCGGCTCTACAGCTTGGTATAGTGGCTTGACAAAAAAGGCTGGTGTGGCGCCATGGAGTCGAGCCGAGGTTGTGTACCACGCGGAGATCTGCACACGATAAGCCACGGATAGGAGGTACTGCAAGACGACGCAATGCACTTGTGGCATGCGGGTTGTCGGAACAGCGGGCAGGATGGCAAAGCCCCGATGTCCCAACGGTATGACGCAAGAGTTGCTGCAGGCTCCGACAGCCGATGTTTGCCTCCGCGTGGCGTGGTGGGGACAGGGAGACGTGTGAGAGCAGCGGCTCGGAAATCGGACGCAAAATGAAGCTCCGATGTCCGATGTCGACATGCGATACGCCATCATCGCCTCGAGCTTTAGATAGCAGACCGCCTCACCATCTGCAAAGAAAAGGAGAGACAAGACAAGCAGACGTCGAGAGCACTGGAAGGCGCCTCGTTTCATGCCCTGCCATTCCAAATGAGGCTTTGCTTGCTCGCTTGCTCGGAGCGCTCGACAGGACGAGGTAGCGCCAATCGATTCGAGCGTATTTGGCAGGTCTCAGGGCGCTGGTTGTCTCAGCGCAGCGGCCAGGCACACTCACGCACGTAGGCCTGGGAGTGGGGGTGCTGCATCTCGACATCCGAGCAACCGCCTTGGCTCCCACGGGAGCGGTGGATGAGAGCCGCGGGTCAGATTGCCTCGGCTGCAGAATCCATCCCCACAAAACCTCCACCTTTTGGACACTGGGCATACACCGGGCCTGTCAAACAATGGGCTAAGCCGTGGGTACTCACTCGGAGCCCAAGCGTGGGTGTGTGTCTCTTTGCAAACTGGCAGGCATCGTGAGAGAGTCGGGGGCGAGTCCGCAACGGGATCAAGAATTGGCTCGATCGAGCAAGCCCGGCATTTTATCGGCGCCAAACCAAAAACAAATCCAAATGCTTGCAGTTGGAGCGACGGGCGTGACAGCTGCAGAGTCGGCGGCGGATGCAGCTGATGCATCCATCCACGCTACTCTGCGCATGTGGGGGTGGCCTTCTTGGCATCGACCATTGCGGCGGTACAATGCCGCCCTTGACGGTGACGCCGATGGAAGAGTCATCCTCGAATCGCAATGTCGGATCTTCCGATCTCTCAGCTCAGGCAGTAAAGGTGGGAGTGTGGCCCAACGGCTCTGGCGAAGGAGGGAGGGATGGACGTGGGCAGAGCCAACGGGGCCAGTTCGGATCACGGACCGACGGTGGTGCGGTGGTTGAGTGTGTGTATGCAGATGAGAGACATTCTGCCGTGGGATTGTGGACCAAGCAAGCGGGGGATGCAAAGCTCGGCTGTCTTCCGATGCAAAGGCTTGCGCTGAGCTCGGTGCTTGCCTCTTGTCTCCCGTCTCTCTCTCTTTCTCGCTCTCGTTACCGGTGTCGACGAGCTGTGAACGTTGCAGCTTCATCCCGCCTCGGTCGTCCCGTTGTGCTGCACTTTCGGTCGCCACGAAAAGGCGGCTGCGCGTGTGACCTTGGACTGGGTGTCGGACGGCGCCTCCGCTGTCACATTGCCGTTGTCTCGGCATTTGGCAGCTGCCGGCCTCTGGCGCCCCCCTCTGCCTTCCCTTCAAGCAACCGCCTTTGCCTTTGATACAACTCGAGCCGCGATACGCTCCAGCCGATAGCTTGCGCCAAACATCCATCTGGCGTGGCCAAAACCAAGCGCAGAAGCTGGCAGTGAGCCCTGCCTCGGCTCATCTGGCCTGCTCTCCCGACAAGATAGGCGTTGTCCTCGAGTGCGGGAGGCCTCTCCAAGCCTTAAAAGCCTGCATCGTTCGGCAACTCGTCCTCAATTCCCGGTCCAACCCAACACCACCCTCGATATCACAGTAGCAACCCCCGCAAGCGCCATTGCACAAGAGCGCCACAATCCGCAACGTCTGTGCCTGACAGCTCGCTTCACGCTGGCTACGGCTTGGAGGTCTAGACATCCAAGCACGGTCTCTAGCGCGCACGGACTGAATCGCAGGCAGAAGGCATAGGTAGACTCGTGAGGCGGCGAGCGAGGTCCAGCTCCACATCGCGCGACCGCCCGTCCCGCCGTCGCAATCAGTCAGCCATCGTCGTCACTTGCGCACCCCCACACTTGGCGACGCGTAACCCGGGCCTCCATCCACCGCGACTGAGCCCAGTTGGCCAAGCAAACACACAGCGTGGGGTGAAAAGACGCCGACGCCGCATCGACTAGGCTCACAAGCGCCCTCGGCTTCCCTCGAGCTTACTCTACTTGTCCGGCCGGGCGTGGATTGAAGCAACGTTGCGCAGCGCCCCCCTCGTCACCACGGGCCCGAGCTTGAGCGTAAGTTCAGCGTTGCTTCGAACCTCCTCCCCACCCGCCGTCGCAATCGCTCAGCCACTGGCATCATCAGCCGGCATCTTGCTCGTCGCCTCCCACCCACGCTCCCCCGCGTGTACGCCGCATACAGCCCCACCATCCTCCGCGGCGGTCTTGGCGGTGGTCTAGATCCCAGGACCCCCGATCAACGCCGCATAAAGCGAGCGCCCCTCGCTGAGCTTCCCGATCGAAGTCGCTACGGCTCAGAGACGCCGCGCAAAGCCGTTCCCGCATCGCACGCTCGTGCTCCGTGCTCCGTGCTCTGTCGGCGAACCGGTAATTGGACAGCTGTCCCGAAGAGGCTTCGTTGACGCAGGATCGCGTACACCACTCGTCCCTGCGTCTGCGTGGGCGCAGCTGCCGCCAACAGCCTCATACGACTCGGCCTCCGACCCGGTCTCCGACTCCGTCCCGTCTCGCCATCGCTCGCAAGAGGTCTCGGCATTCTGACGACGCCGATAAGAACGCTGCTGCACAGCCATCTCCTGGAGCTGCTTGCCAAGATTGCTTGTGCACATCATTGCTGTCGTCTCGTCGAGGTTTGCTCGGTGGTACGACGTGCACCACTGCTTTTCCCAACCGTTCAGTCCAGGCTATAAGACCCCTGGTCGGTTCGTCCAAGCCTCTTGCTCCATCTCCTCCTTGGCTACGCAAGCACCATCTCCGTTGGCGTCACAGCACCATCGAAATCCATCGCACCCTCCTCTACCACACTCACTTGACTCTGCAACCGCAAACATGACATCGATCTTTGCGTCCAAGGCGCTCGGCCGACGCCGTGGATCGGCGCAGACCGGCGAGCTCTCGGACTCGAGCGCATCGTCGCGCAACCACAGCATCTCGTCGCGGGACCGCTCCACATCGCTGGCGAGCTCGCAGATGGACGACTGGAGCGACGGTTTCACGGGCATTGTGGACCTCGACCGCCAGATGCGCCAGCTCGCCATGGCCGAGCAAGGCCACGCCTCGCTGTGCGGGTCGTCGGACCTGGACGTCTACGAGCCGTACTCGCCCTCTAGCTGGTGGGGCGAGAACGAGCAGCGGCGACGCAAGAGCTCGTCGGATGCGCGTCTGGCGAGCGGCTCGCAGTCGTCGCTCTCGACGCGCAGCATTCCACCCTCGCCGCTGTCGCCCGCGCACACCACGGCGAGCACCTCGACCGCGGCGACGTCGCGCTTCTCCAACGACTCGCGCACGCACTCGTCGCTGCTCGCCAAGCGCCAGTCGTCCGGTGCGGTCGACTCGTTCGACGGCGCGCACAGCCCGCTTAGGCTCGCGCCGCTGCCGGCATCGCCGTCGGCGTTTGGTAACTATCGGCTGACGGACTCGGCCCCCGCGCGCGCCTCGGGCGTATTCGACTCGCCCTCCTGGTCCGGTGGCGAGGAGAAGGATCCGCTCACCCCGCTCGCGCTCTCCGCTCGACAGCTCGCGCCCGTCACGCCAGGAACGGCCGCGGCGGCAACATGGACCGACCCCACCGCGCCGGGCTACTTCCCCGCCGGCCTTGTGGCGCGCAGCAAAAAGTCGCGCTCGCTGCGCAAGAAGACCACCCGAGCTCCACTGCCCCGCCTCGTGTCCGGCGAGGTGGTCTCGTCCCCCACCGCCGAGTCCGAGTACGCGCTTGACGAGGCGGCCGCCCCGCGTGGGGAGGACGAGGGCGTCGCAGGGTTGGGATTCGTCATTCCAAGCTCACAGCCACATGCGCCTTCGGGCACGCACGCACTGCGCAGGTCGGCGCAGTCGCTCGCACTCAGCCTGCGCTTCAAGATGCTGCGTGCCAAACGCAGGGTGCGCCGCACGGGTCTCGAAGCCGCCGAGCTCTTCACCCCGCAATCGTCGCGGCGCAGCTCGCTCGACACCACCCCCGCCTTCTGATCCACCTTGCTCGCATCTGCTTTTGTCCGCCTGTATCACTAGTATTATTGTCATTGGTATTATCGCTTTGTCGCGACGAGTGTGGTTGGGTGTCTAGTAGCCGAGGAGGAGACGACGGAGGCGTTTGGTATCCTGTCGACGCTGGTTTCGGAACGTGGGCATGGTGGACCAGCCCTCGCTTTTGGCCAGCACAGGTTCGTTGCTTCGTGTCTCGGGAACCTGGGTTTCCTCATCATCGCCTTGAAAGGCGAGGTGTTTTGGCAGGAGGGCGAGTAGGGCGTTTTGATACGCCGTGTCGGAGGGATATCCCAAGTCGGTGGTTGAGTTCGCACCCTGCTTGGGTGCGGGTGATCTTGACGTCCACCTCTCCGGATCGGTCGAAGGGATGCTGGGGTCTAGACTGGGAAGTGCCGAGTGGGGGTGTGGATCGATGTGGCCGGACCAGGCAGCGGCGACGATACGCGCCTGGACATGTGTGAGCGGCATGGGTACGATACGGATCGGTGCGCCCAGCACGCATATCGAAGCGTCCGCAGCGTAGAACAGGCTCCAGTCGTCGAGATTCGTCAGCTTGGAGCTCGTCCGAAATGGCGGTTCGTACATCTCCCCTCCCACCTGCTGCGGTGGTGTTGAAGGAGGCTGAGGGATGAGCGGGTGTGTATCGAATGGTGCGGCTTCCTGGTCGAGGTAGGGAAAGTCGTACGCGTAGCCGGTGCCAAAGATGATCGTGTCGACATGATCGTGTATCTCTCCACCCTCGAACACGATCCTACTCCCCCCACCCTGCATTTTTTCAATATGGTCGATCCGTGGGACGACGGTGATGCGTTTCGTCCAGTCGGGAGAATCAGTGCTGCGAGGGTCGTAGTCCAGTGGCGGTGGAGAGTCGAATTTTTCATACGAGTGCAGAATGCGTGGTGGATCGCGGTCGCACCGGGCGATGTAGTCGCGAGTTGCAGTGTCGCCTTCGGGGAGGGTTCGGAGGATGTATCCTGCTAGCTCGCGCGCGATGTCTGAGCCGGAAGACGAGTTGCCCACCACCAACACTGTACGCCCTGCGAAGGGAACGGGGGATCGCCACCATGCCGAGTGCATCACGGTGCCTTGGAAATCCCACAGCCCTTTCACGAACGGTATGCTCGGGGTATTGCACCTCCCACTCGCCAAAACCACGCAATCGAACTCTTCTTCCCTTTCGACCCCGGTGGTGGTGTCGATGGATCGAACCGCCCACTTGCTCTCTGCACCGATGCTTTTGGCTGCTGCAGTTGGATCGTGCGAAACACGGCGGACCGATTGCACGGCGGTAGCGAGCCGAGTGTCGATGGGCTCGAGCGTGTTGGCGAAATCGACAATGTACTTCTCCACCATTTGGCGGGATGGAAATAGCGGTGTTTGTGGCGGGTAGGGGTGGGAACGGTAGGTCATAATGTCGCACGGCAAGTTGGTGCGCAGACCATCGTACATCGGCCCCGGGGGGCAGAATCGCCCTGCATCATCGCCGTCTTTACGTCCACCCCACAAAGCATGTGCCCGACCGTGACGGTCAAATCGCACATCGCAATTGCCCGGATCCGCATCGTACGTCCATACTCCTCCGAACCCCGTGCGGCGCTCGAACAATGTCACCGAAAAAGCGCGGGTGCGTGCGTTGATGGCCGCAAGTTGATCCGCCATCGACAGCCCTGCTGGCCCGCCTCCGATGATGGCAACCCGTCGCATCATGCCAAAGCAAGCCATACAACCCAGTGCCCTCCCGCGGAAAAGTCCTCGTACACCGTCCGGTTGAAGGTATCCTGCAAGTGTGGTGGAGGAGAGAGAGGCGTGGCCTCGGAAGATTGGTGTGATCACGTCAGAGAGAACTCGACCCCAGCCGAGGTGGAGGCCGACAGCTCGATGCCGAATATCGCACGCGATGCAGCGGCACCACTCCCACGCCGAAATGAGGCTCACTCTGGTATGCACTTTCAAGCCCCATCCTCACACTCATTGACCAAGACATCACTTGAACGACACGACGAGTGCATTCAAAGCGTACTGCTAAATACAACGGCGGCTTAGTTGAAGACGACCGTCTTGGCGCCGTTGAGCAAGACCCTCCTCTCGGCGGTCCACTTGACCGCCCTGGCGAGCACGCGCGCCTCGACATCCGAGCCGGCCTGGACGAGGTCCGCTGGCGTCATGGCGTGGTCAACACGCTCGACGGCCTGCTCGATGATGGGGCCCTCGTCGAGATCAGCCGTGACAAAGTGCGCCGTAGCACCGATGAGCTTGACGCCGCGCTCAAACGCCTGGTGGTACGGCTTGGCGCCCTTGAAGCTGGGGAGGAAGGAGTGGTGGATGTTGATGATGCGTCCGCTGAACAGGCTGCACAGCTGCGGGCTGAGGATCTGCATGTAGCGGGCGAGCACGATCATGTCGATGTCGTACTGCTTTGCGAGCTTGACCATCTCAGCCTCCTGCCACTGCTTTGTCTTTCCCTCGGCGGCGTTGATGGGGAGGTGGTAGAAGGGGATGCCGTTGGCGCGGGCGAGCGGCTCGTAGTCGGCGTGGTTGGAGATGATGAGCGGCACGGTGATGGGGAGCGTGTTGTTCGAGAGGCGGAAGAGGAGGTCGTTGAGGCAGTGGCCGATCTTGGAGACCATGATGAGCGTGCGCGGCTTCTCCTCGGCGCCAAAGATCTTGACCGACACCTCGGCGGCGGTGGCGAACTCCTCCTCGAACTCGGCCTTGACCTTGGCGAGGAACGCCTGGCGGTTCTGCGCGTAGTCGGATGCCTTGGGGTCCGGGTGCGAGCCGTTCTCTGGCTCGGGCTCCGATGCGTGCACGCGCATGAAGAAGGTGCCCGTCGTGGGGTCGCCGAACTGCGCCGAGTCCATGATGTTCATGTTTCGCCGCGCGAGGAAGCCCGAGATGCGGTGGACGATGCCGGGTCCATCGGGTCCCGAGAGCGTGAGGATGATCGAGGGAGGCGGGAGTGCCGAAGCAGGCTGCTTGGGTCGGATCTTGGAGGGGAGGATCGAGTGCGAGCCGGCAGCAGCGCCGGCGGTCTGCTGAGGTGTCGTCATGGTTTCGAGATCGGCGAGCGAGCGCAGGCCGCGGGTCGAGATGGAGACTGGAGAAGATGCGAACGACTGGCGTGCGAGACGGAGCGAGTTGAAGCTGGTGGGGACGAAGAGCGTGGTCCTGGCCGATGCGAGAGCAGATGAAGCGAGCTTCGATCCGACGAGGTTGAACATCGAATGCGCCCGAATAACAAGGAGCAAAAAAGGTCGACGGATCCTGTTGAGAGGAAGAGTCAGGCCAGCGTGGGAGAGGTCGCAGAGATGAGAGAGCTTTGGATGTGATGGGAGCAAAGACAAGCTGGTCGGCTCCTCCGAGCAGTGGGTGAGAGTTGGAATGCGCCTCCTCCTCCTCCTGGCCAAAAAAAAGGGCATTTCTTCCTTTTTCGCCTGGATTTTCCCGCGGCCCAAGCACGAGGCGACTGACTGCACTGTGACTTCGGAGCGCGCCCCGCTGCTGCCCAGACGCCAAGTCGAGTCGGAGAAGCGGCGAGATTAGATTGATCAGTTGATCATTTGAATCTGATCATGCATGCTTCTCACCAGAGCCTAGCTGCCCATCGCTCCGAACCAACCAGATGGCTGTTTGGCTGCGCCGAGTCACAAGGCCAGGCGTGTCCGGCCTACTTGCCGTGCTCTCCGATCGGAACCACCGAGAGGGTGCCACTTGCAGGCTCAGCTTTGCCCATGAGCATCCCTCTCGGCCAGAGCTCGTTGATCAGCTCGCTGGGCGTGAGGCAGAGGAGAGTGTCAGAAAATTCGCCGCGGGTTCGGGCTGACCGGCCGATCTGCCCGTGTCCCCGGCCTTCCCGTCGTCTCACCTGCTCAGCTCCAACCAGACATGCTTTCCCGGCAGCTGTTCCGTGATGCAGACCGAAGCGCCATGGGAGTAGGTCGCGACGCCCAAGGCGGCTAGAAGCCCCGCTCGTTCCGTGTTTTGCAAGCGCCGAGTGATGCAGTCAGCTCGAGTCGATGAGAATGCTTTGTCACGCTGAGTAAGCAACAGGGTTCGGACGGACGTTTTGCTCCACATGCGCCGAAAGTCCCGCCTGGCAAAAGCACGGCCCCACCACCGCTACCTCGTCTCGATACCCCAACACCTTTCGCAAACGACACCAGCAATACCGTTCCTGCAGAAGTCTGGCTCCAGCCACGCGTACTGCCACCATGAAGCGCAAGGTGCGTGATCCCCGGCCATCCCAAGGAACCAATGATGATCGACTGACAATGCTGCGATTTGCTTCCAGGTGCTGCTGATGGGCCAATCGGGCTGCGGCAAGACGAGCATGCGTTCGCTCATCTTTTCGTCCTACCGGGCTGCAGACACACGGCGGCTGGGCTCGACGTTGGATGTGGAGCATTCGCACGTGCGCTTCCTCGGCAACCTGGTGCTCAACCTGTGGGACTGCGGAGGACAGCAGTCGTACATGGACTCGTATCTGGACAAGCAGCGCTCGCAGGTGTTCTCTACCGTGGGCGTGCTGATCTATGTCTTTGACCTCGTCGGTGCCGAGGGAGGTGAGGAGGGGATCGAGGAATGGGAGCGCGATCTGCGCTACTACAAGGACTGCATCTCGGCGCTCTATCAGTACTCGCCCGATGCGCAGGTGTTCTGTCTGCTGCACAAGATGGACTTGGTCGATAAGAGTAGGCGTGCGGCGGTGTATTCGAGTCGTGTCAAGGAGCTCAGGAGGAAGAGTAGGGAGGTTGCACAGGCGGCTGCGAATGCCAGGGCGGCAGCGGATGGGTTCCGGGTGCATTGTTTTGCCACGAGTATTTGGGACGAGAGCTTGTATCGCGCGTGGAGTCGGATTGTGCAGACGCAGATTCCGGCACTGGGCGTGTTGGAGCGTCATCTGCAGCAGCTGGCGGATACGTGCTCGGCGAGCGAGGTGGTGGTGTTTGAACGAACCACGTTTCTGGTCATCGCCAAAACCGCATCCAGCTCCGCCGCACCCCTGTCGTCGTCGTTCAACAAGGACTCGATCCAACCCTCTTCCGGTGGTCGATACATCTACGACGAAGATGAAGAGGGCCTCGAAGGGTTTAGGGATACGCAGGGTAGGGTGGCATCAACACCGCTCGGCTCGGGCTTTATCACATCGTCCACCCACCCTGCTGCTCATTCCGAAACGGTGGCTTTTGGTACAAGAGCCGCAGGGTTGGATCCAGAGCGATTCGAAAAGGTGTCGGAGCTCATCAAAAACTTCAAGCTGTCGTGTCAGAAGCTACCTGCCAAATCGAGCCAGTGCGAGTTTCAGGCGGTCGAACTCAAAGCTCCGAACTTTAGCGCGTACATCGACAGCCTGACCTCCAACACGTACATCATGCTGCTGGTGCGCGATCCTTCGATCCAGATGGCAAGCATCAAGCTCAACGTCCAACTGGCACGCGACCACTTTGAACGCCTCCAGGCCATCAATCTTCGCTCCTAGCACACATACCCCACCCGCCTTTTCGCGACTGTTCGTTCGAAATGCATTCGTAGTCACTGTTGAGCATGCGCAAGTGGGAGTGTGCGCATTGCAGGGGGTTCAGGGTGCAGGCTCGCGCTTGAGAATTTGCAGCTTGGGCTGGGAAGCAGGCGCAGTTGCGGTGGATGCAGTTGGCGGCTTGGTGGATGTTTTGGCGCCACCCTTGCGACGGGGAGGTTTTTTGCGCGTCGAACCGTCGCCCTCAGCAACGCCAGCATCAGCACTGTTCTCGGCGGCCGGAGCTTTGGCGTCGGACTTCTTCTTGGCCGGTCGTCCGCCAGCTTGCTTGGGGTTCCTGGCCGGTGTTGCCTCCGCAGCGTTGGGGGCGTCCTTGGTTGGGTTGCTCTGCTTCTTGGCGCTCTCGGGCTTGTTAGTGGCCTTTGGCGCAGCGTCTGTGTTGGCGGCATTGGCATCGACGCCGTCGGCTCGGCGCTTGCCCTTGCGCTGTCGGCTCTTCTTTTCGCGCTTGGGCGGTTCCTGGCCGCCTGCCTCGATCTCCTTGCCGCCACCTACGTGCGCAGCATCGACCGCAGCGAGCTTTTCCTTTGTCCGATGCCTCTTGCCCTTCTTGGCCTTCTTAATGGCCGGCTCGGCGGGCTGCATTGCCGTCGCTGCTGCTGCTCCGTCCGCATTCCTGGCAGCCGCTTTAGCAGCGGCCCTCTCGGCCTTTTTGGCCTTTTTGGCGAGTGCAGCGGATTCGAGCTTGGCCTGCTTGACGGCGCGCAGATGCTCGAGCAGTGGCGTCGACTTGCCCGCCGCCGCTGCGGCCTCGCGCTCCCGTGCGCGCTCTCTGGGGTCGTACGTCGACGCAAGCAGGTCGCCCTCTGCCCTCTTTGCATCGTCACCGACGTTGGACAGGCGCTCGACGAACGCGAGATAGTCGCCGTCCGCCTCGATGGTGCCTTGCTTGGGGTCGGGCTTGCTGCGTCGCCCGCGCGCGGGGACTACCTTTTGGTACGGTGCAAACTCGACCATCGCCACCGTCTCGCGCGCTTTGCTGTCGCGAAAGATATGGCCGTCAAAGTGCTTGTGGAAGAGGACGAGGGCGTGTGCATCGAGGAAGCGCACGTACGCGCGCGCGTGCTTGTTCTGCTTGCTCGCGTCCGTCTTGAGCTTGCCCGGGATGAACTGCTTGAAGTCTACAGTCGGCGTGAGGGTAGGCGCAGAAGATGTGGAAGCGGACGCTTCGCCGGATACGCTGGTGGTGGATGAGGATGTAGGTGGTTGACAGTCGGCAGCATCACGGATCCACGGCGAGACGGCTTTCCAGAACACCGCCTCGGGCAGATTGGGCGGCAGCCGTCGGATGACCACCTTGCTTTTGAAGTGCGTCGACGCCTTGCCCTGTCGCGTCGCCGCGGGCTTGGCAGCATCCCTTCTGGCGGGTCTCTTGGACGGCTGAGCTGATGCAGGTGCGGGCGCAGCTTTTGCATCTTGATCGAACGCAGACGCTTTTGGGTTGCGGTTGTTGGCTGCTCGTTCTCGATTCTGCTGCGCGCGCGCGCGGTTGTCGGCCGCCTTTTGTGCGTTGGCCGCCTGCTTGGCCTTGGAAGGCTGAGTATCGGCGAGAGACGCCGAGATGTCCGGCTGCGACATGGTGGACATATACGGCCAGCGCAGTTCCGGTCGCAGTGCTGGTGGTCGAGGGCGAAGAGCGTAAAGATGGATCGCGCGCTGCTCAGGGTCCAAGCAGGTGGGGCGGCTGAGCAACCCACGCTCTGCTCTGCGCGAGAATAATTTTGGGGCTCGGAAGTGCCGCCAAGTGATGTGGAGCAGATGAAGCCACCATTCGACCGTCGGAACATCCGCCTTTTCCCACCACGATCAGTCACCCACTCTCTACATACTCACGACCATGCCGCCTCGCCGCACTCGAGCAGCCGTAAAGGCGGAGTCGCCCGAGCCCGAGCCCGCCGCGCCAGCCTCGCCTTCAGAACCATCCGCAGGCCCAAGCAACGACGCATCTACACCCACGAGCAAAGGCAAGAGCAAAGCACGAGCTGCCCGTCACCAGCCGCTCATCGCCGAATCCGCGCCCTCTCCACAGGCTGAAGAAGATGAAGCAAAGGTGTCCATGGCGGATCGACAGGCGCGCTTGACGGCGCTGCGTGCGCGGATGGCAGCGTCGACCAAAGCCAACCGACGCGACATTCTCTCCGAGCAATCGCGCGCGCGTGCGGTAGCTGCCGAGATGCGCGGTCCGTCTGCATCACGCAAGCTACAAAAGGCGGAAAAGGTGCTGGAGGAGCGAGACCTTCGCGAATCAGGAGAGGACGTGGAGCGGCATCGGAACATGCAGTACTCGCTCGAAGACTCGGAGCGCTGGGATGCCAAGCAGGAGCAAAAGCAGAAGCGCATCGATCAAGGCCAGGCGGACTTTGGCGATGCGGCCGAAAAGGCGTACCAGCGCCAGCTGAGGTCGCTCAAACCGGATGTGGCGGCGTACAAGCAGCAGCGCGATGCGGACCAGACCGCACGAAAGGCAACCGGTAAAGCAAAGGTGGTTGGAGGGGACGAGATTTACTATGGCGATCATAGGCCGACGGACGATGCGCTGGATAGGGTCGTTTCGCATCTGAACAAGGAGCGAGAGCTGATTCAGAATAGGAGCAGGAGGAGACAGGATGCGGACGACGACCAGGTCAACTACATCAACGACGACAACAAGCACTTTAACAAGAAGCTCAAGCGCTTCTACGACAAGCAGACGCAGGAGATCAGGGAGAATCGTAAGTTTCGCACTGCAGTATCGATGTGCTGGAAGCCGCGGCTGATTTTTTTGCGAGTGTTTTGTGTCGGAACAGTCGAGAGAGGTACCGCGCTATGATCGCACGGCTGCGCGGGCGCATGGTCGACTTCAAGCGGCGCAACGACTAACTCGACACGGATACACGCTGGCATACTGCTTGCACGCTGGCGACTCGCTTTCTGTGCGAGTCAAGATCGCATCACGACCGCAGGTGCGTTCCAACTGGGCGTGCTCGGTACCTGGCGCGCGCTGTGCCGACGTGCACGCCGTCATTGGTGGCAAGCAGGTCAAGGCGCACCACAGCGCAGAGCCGCAGTGAACGAGTTAGCAGAGGAAGTGCAATGTAACAACAGATCTTATTCGCCACCACTGCTCGCGTACAGGCACGCATCGTGGAGATGTGCGTGCTACTGACTGAGCCAGCCAAGCACGCCCGATCAGGCACTTGATACACACAAGCTTCGACGAGTAGTGGCGGTGTGTCGTAGTGGAAGCTCCTGCTGCACTGCGAAGAGAGACCAATCGACCGCTTGCATACAGGTGTGCGCTGAGCGGATGTGCGTGCTGTCGATCGCAGGCAAGCAGGTTCAGGCGATCGACGTGGGTGCCAATCATGACGCAGATGGGTGATGAACAAGCAGCGACGACCGCACTGCGGCAAGAAGTGATAGACGAATTCAGCTCGACTGCTTGCTCGCATGTACTGTACACAGCGCAGATGCACTGCGACGGCCCATCCGCATTGGCTGTTGACAAACAGACACGAAGCGAGAGGAAAGATGCTTGATTCATCACTGGCATTGCAGAGTGGATAAGAAGTATGAGGATTTTCTGCCGGTGTGCCTTTTCCGCAGTGACGTGTCGGAACCCGAGCGGCAGACGTAGCAGCGGTTGCTGGGTCGCTGGCTGCTCACATACAGACACGGAGCCGGCTTGGCATCATGGCCGCAGTTCAAAAACCCTGGGTGTGAGATGCACATAGGAATGGTGGGATGTCGCAGTCGAAGCCTCGCTCTGCGACAACACACAATTTCAGCTTGACCGCTGGCGTCAGGCATGTTTTGTGGAAATGTTCGCTTTGTTTCATTATGGGCATTGCAGAGTGGCTTCGTATACAAGCAAGGAGCGAAGAACCGCGCACGCTGCTGTTGTAGACCGGCAAAGTCCAGTCGGTCGACGTATAAACGAGGAGTGATGGTGTGCTGCAAAACATCGACCTCGCTGCGACGATCCGGATTGGCTGCTCCCATACAGACTCGGAACAAGAGGAACGATGCTTGATCCAGCACGGGCATCGCAGAGTGTGTGAGATGTGCGTGGGGATTGTGGTGTGTCGCAGTCGAAGCCTTAACCGTACTGCGACGATACATCCATCCGGATTGGCTTCTCGCATGTAGACAAGGGGCAAAGGAACGATGCATGGTCCATATCGACATTGCAGATTGGCCTCGTACACAGCCCGAGTGAAAGAAGCGTGCACGCTGCTGTTGGAGGCAAGCAGGTCCAGTCGAGCGTAAAATGAACGAAAAGTGACGGTATGCCGCAGTCGAAGCTTCGCGCTGCGACAACAGACACAGTTCGACCGCTCCCATACAGACCCGCGCACTGAAGATGTGCATGCTTGATTCATTACCGTCATGGAAGAGTGGCCCTATGTCAATATCAATGAGCCGGTGTGTGAGACATACATGGGTGTCGTGATGTGTCGCAGTTGAAGCATCGACCTCAGCGGGACAATCGACGAGTTCAGCACAACTTCTCGCATATCGACACGCACTGTGCGGGAGTCTGCGCTGCCAGGCGGTCATCGTAAGCACTCCACCACAGCGCAGGCGCGTTATAGTCGAGATGCGACGACCGCGTTGCGACAATACAAACATCCGCACTGGCTGCTCACTAGCAGACACGGGGCAAGGGATTCATGCATTGTTCACTTTGGGCATTGCAGAGTGTGTGAGATGCACATGTGGGTTGTGGTGGATCGCCGTCGAAGCCTAACCTCATTTCGACGACAGGCGCAACTTGACTGCTCGCTTGTAGGCATGCAATGTGCCGATATGTATGCTGCTGTCGCAAGCAAGCAGGGAAAGATCGTGCACAGGTGTGTTGTGCGCACGCTGCTGTCGCTGAGAAGCACGGCCGGGCACATCTCGCAGCACAGGCACAGAGTCAACAAGTAGCGACGTTATGTCGCACGACCTCACTGCGACGATAAACAGCAGATGGATTCAGCTTGGCAGCGCGCAAGCAGACCCACGCTGTGAAGAACAAGATGGTGCACTGCAGTTGAAGCCTCGCACTGCAATGACAGACGATTTCAGCTTGGCCGCTCCCTACCAGGCACGCTGTGGGAATGTGCACGCTTGATTCATTACCAACATTGCATAGTGCATGGGAAGTACGAGGGTATGGTGGCGGAGTTGCTTTTGTTTAGCTACGACAGGGACGCTGTTGGTGCTAGTGCGATGCCTGTTGATGCAGGGCGCTGGCGGAGCGGACGACAGGCAGAGATGGTACGGAACGATTGTAATTGATGGTAGTTCTATCTACAGTGTGTGTGCGAGCGAAATGGTCGAAGTGAGTGAGCTAGTGAGGAGGAGGTGTGTGCGTTGTACCCCTGAGTGGGCGGAGGTGTATACGCGCGCCTCCAGTGCGCGCGCGTGGCGTAAGTGGGCGTGTGGTGTATGCAGGTACCGGCCTGCTCGAGCCGGAACCCCACCAACAGACGCGAGCGACCAACTCAGCAGCCGGGTGTTGGTAGCGACGATATGTTGCAGTCAAAACATTGATCGCACTTCGCCGAAACACCGATCCGGATTGGCTGCTCACATACAGACACGGAGCCGGCTTGGCATCATGGCCGCAGTTCAAAAACCCTGGGTGTGAGATGCACATAGGAATGGTGGGATGTCGCAGTCGAAGCCTCGCTCTGCGACAACACACAATTTCAGCTTGACCGCTGGCGTCAGGCATGTTTTGTGGAAATGTTCGCTTTGTTTCATTATGGGCATTGCAGAGTGGCTTCGTATACAAGCAAGGAGCGAAGAACCGCGCACGCTGCTGTTGTAGACCGGCAAAGTCCAGTCGGTCGACGTATAAATGAGGAGTGATGGTGTGCTGCAAAACATCGACCTCGCTGCAACGATCCGGATTGGCTGCTCACATACAGACTTGGAACAAGAGGAACGATGCTTGATCCAGCACGGGCATTGCAGAGTGTGTGAGATGTACATGGCTGTCTTGGCGTGTCGCCGTTTAGACATCGACTGCACTTCGCCAATACATCCATCCGCATTGGCGGCTCAAACACAGACACAGGTCAAGAGATTCATGGTTGATTCATTATCGGCAGAGTGTGTTCGATGTACATGGATATGGTGGCGGCGTCCCTTTTGCGCCCTTCGAAACCCGAGCGAATCACTCAGCAGCGGGCGTTGGGTCTTGAGTTGAGGTTGTACGTGATCCAGCCGCCCTTGAGGCCGCGCTGGTAGTCCCAGTCTGCGGCGCTTTCGGTCTTCCAGGTCCAGAACACCCATCCGGAGGCGCGCTCGTACACCGAGATCTGGGTCTCGAACAGACGCTGTAGCGAGGCCTTGTAGGCAGCGGAGAAGTTGGAGCCGTCGCCGGTCTTGTCGGCGCAGTTGCCGACGTAGTAGCTGCCCTGGCCGAAGGTGCCGTCGTAGCGGGCGCCAACGCCGCGACCGTTGAGGTACTTGGCACAGTCGGTGGGGGCGGCGGTCCATTCGCCCACAATGGTCCAGAGGTTGCCGTTGGACGAGGCGAGGCCGTTGGCTTGGCTGCAGTAGTTGTTGAGTCGTGCGTCTTCGGACATGGCCACCTGGTCGGGCGAGAATACAGAGTAAATGTGCGTGTCGAGGAGCACCTGCTGGTACTGCGGAGGCTGCTGGAAGCCCCTCCAGTAGTCGAGACCCATGAAGCCGTCGTGGATCATGATGGCAGCATTGCCAAACTTGGCGCGCGCGGCCGAGTAGCCGGCATTGTAGTAGTTCTTTGTGAAAGGCATGATGTTGCCGCCGACAAAGCCGGCGGGCTCGTTGAGCAGCTCGATCGAGGTGACGGTGCCGCCGTACTTTGCAAATCGCGCAGCGATGGTCGAGATGACGCGGATGGCGCGGTCGGCGTTGCTCTGCGAGTTGGGCCACTGAACGGCGCCCTTGCGGCCAGAGTTGTCAAAGCCGTTCTGCGAGCCGGGTGCGCCGTGGAGGTCGATGATGACCTTGAGGCCGTACTTGCGCGACCATTGGACGGCGCGTTCGAGATAGTCGGCCTGGTTGTAGCGCACGTAGGGCTCGCCAGCCGAGGTGTCAAAGGCCCAGTAGCCGATGGGGATGCGAACGTGGTTGAGACCGGCGCCGGCGATGGCAGCAAAGTCGGCTTCGGTGTAGAAGGTGGACCAGTGGCGCGAGAGACGGCCGTAGGCGTTGCTTGCGTACTGACCAAACGTCCACTCGTCGATCACGCGAGAGTCGCCAGTGTTGTCGTAGAGACTGGGGGTGATCCACGGCTCTGATACGAGCCAGCCGCCGATGTTGACACCGCGCACCTGTTGCGACGCAGATGCAAGGAGGAGTGCGTGTTAGCATTCACGAACCGTGTCGAGTCAATTGGGATTGTGGCCTACCTTTTGGCTTCCATAGGCAAAGCCTGGGTTTTGACGTTCTTGGAGGACGATGCGGGGGTTCTCGAGGAGCTGTCCGCGTTCGTCGAGGAGGGAATCTTGAAGCACACCCGCTTCATTTGCACGGACGACGGGGCGTGTGTCGTTACCGTAGGGTGCAAAGGCGCCAATGGGCGAGGGTGCAGCCGCAGCCCGCTGCGACACGAGGGCGAGGGCGGAGAGGATGGTCGGGAGAAGGGAAAAGTGGAGCATCATGTTTGCACCAGCTGACGGAGGCCTTGCTAGCAGGGCCGAGATTGAAGAGACGGACGATTGGGACGAAGTCGCCGGACCAGCGGGATCGTGATGAAGGCTTTTGTTGATCTTTGGGGGGGGCCAAGGTACGAGAGCGCTGACCAGAGAGCTCGTGTTTATATGAGCAAGGGTATGAAGAGCAGAGAGGTAGGCAGGTTGTCTGACCAGCAGACGAGCCGAGCAGTCAGCTTTTGCTGCAGCAGCAGGGGTTCGGGGCGAGCGGAGAAACAGGGCGAGGCTAGACGCGGGAGAAGGGAGAAAGAAGAACAGGTGTGCCGGCAAACCTGGTTGGCGTGGACGGACTGCGTGCTAGTGGGGAGTGGAAGCGAAGTGGGGATGGTGGAAAGGAGGTTAGGGCGAGCTTGGCGGGGGAGGGCACGGCTAAAGACTCGAGCCGAGCGTCAGGTTGGCAGGAGCAAGGGTGGAGAGCGGGGCGAAGCGATGCGACGCCTACAAGCTCCGATACGTGCAGACGGTGTCGAGACGCACGGCGAAGGCAGCACCTCGACGTCGAGTAATGCAGGGACCGCACGGCAAAGCGCACAGTGTGTGTGTCTCGGCGAGCTTGCTCAGTTGCCGTGTGAATCTGGACTCATTTGTGTAGCTCAAGGAGAGCCAAAGGTGGCAAGAGCGAGGGCGGATGCTACGGTAAGCGGAGTGGCAGGAGTTGCATATGATGCACAGGCTAAAGTTACAGGCTGCACAGACAGGCACCGACACTGGCGAGGAGGAACGGTTGCCGAGGCAACGCTTTAAGCCAACGCAATATAACAACGTCTACATGAAGCGATGGCGTTGGGGCTTGGCCGGCCAGGCTTGGCTGTGGCCGGTGATGAAGAGGCTCAAAGTGACCTGACCGATGACACGGGCAACGCCAAAACCAGCAGCAGAGCGCGACGACGGCGGCGTGTTGAAGAGTGCCGAGGTGGCGCCGCGCAGAGTGGATGACAGCAGACGGCACTAGAGCCCAACTCGACGGCGGCTCCTCGGCGCAACCCAACAGCTGCACCTCATCGGCCCATCACCAACGCGTCGGTCTCCCCGTCACGGCCAATTTTTACACGAGACAAACACTTTTTTTTTCTCGATATAAAAATATTCCCTACGCCCCGCCCTCGCTTGAGCTCATGCACGCACTCACAGACTAGCGAGCCAAGCGGGTTGTGGCATGGCATGACCACC